CCCGTCCTCCCGCTGCCCAAGCGGGCCAGGAGGGCCCCCCAGGCTGCAGACCCGGCACAGCGGGACCCTCGGGCTCCGCGTGGCCCAGCTCACCTTGTGCTGCGAAGCCTCTGCTGACCAGCACAGCCCGACCCTCTCGTGGCCAAACACAAACCAGAAGCACACAAAATCACCAAGACATATATCAAGAGAGCTTAAAACTGCAAACACTTACCCACTTCTGCTGCACAGCCAGGTCAGGAGGAGCTCCAGCCTCATCCACAGCCAACACCCCTTTCCCAGCAGGGCAGGAGTTGCTCTGTTCCCGACAGACCCTCCTTGGGCACAGGTGAGCCCCATGAAGTGATTCAGCACCCCTGAAGGCAACTGACAGTGGGAGTGGTGAGACCCAGGATTTGGGCTGAGCTGGGGCTCCCTTGGCCAGCAACACCCAGGCCAAGGCAAGCAGGGGGGGGGGAAAAAAAAAAGATGGATTTCTCCAGTGACCTGCCCAGGAGAGCCAAGAACCAGCTGTCCCCTGCCCAGTGTGTCATACGTGCCTAAATTTGTGACAGGCTTCAGAAGAGCCTGTCCCCATGGTCTAGTGGAGTTGCTGCTGCACGTGGTTGGAATGAGAAATGGATGGAAGCTGCCAAGAGTGGTCCCATGGCTGCTGGGGAGAGCTGGAAAGGTGCCAGACCATTTCCTCCCAGTGAGAGCTCACCAGGTGATGCCCCTGTCCCTACCAGCTGAGGGGTCCTGCAGGGCTCACCCCAGGCCTGATGGGAAGGGGAAATGGGGGGTGTTTGTGCTCAGAGCTGCATGCACCAGCTGTGTGCTGGCGTGGGAAGCACAGGAGGGGGCTTCAGGAGGTGTGGGGGTCCCCAGCCAGCGATGGAAGCTGCCAAGAGTGGTCCCATGGCTGCTGGGGAGAGCTGGGAAAGGTCCCAGACCATTTCCTCCCAGGGAGAGCTCACCAGGTGATGCCCCTGTCCCTACCAGCTGGGGGGTCCTGCAGGGCTCACCCCAGGCCTGATGGGAAGGGGAAATGGGGGGTGTTTGTGCTCAGAGCTGCATGCACCAGCTGTGTGCTGGTGTGGGAAGCACAGGAGGGGGCTTCAGGAGGTGTGGGGGTCCCCAGCCAGCAGAGCTCTGCATGCCAACAGCTGTGCACAGCAAGCCCTTCCTCGTTAAGCCTGATTGAGGTGCCTGTTGCAGAGAGTGGGTCACTGCTGCTAATTACCTGACTAATGCTCCTCCTGCACACCAGGTCACAACCAGGGTCCTTCTCTCAGGAAGAGCTGGTCTGCACTATGAGCCTGCTGCCTCTCTCACTGGGGGGAGGGTGACAGTGGCACCAAGCATGTCTGGGTACCATAATGCCCACAGAGCAAGTTCCACCAAGACCAGCAGCTCTGGAGCACCACGTGCCCAGCATGGACTGTGACCCACAGGTGGCCACTGAGGTTGGGTCTCTGCTGCACGACCCCCAGGCACACAGAGCCTCTGACACCAAACAGGCAGAAAGCTCCTCAGGTGCTGCAGCTCAGACCTCTGAGCTTCTTCCCAAACCCACAGCAGAGGGTTGGCTCCATCCCCTCCCTCCTGAGCCACATGCCCACATGAACTCCCGTGCCCACGGGCCAGCGCTGGGCTCCTGCTCCCCAGAGATGTGGCAGCAACTGTGAGAGTGCAGGGACAGGGGAGAAGCTGTGCCAGGAATTATGAGAAGGGAAGTCTCTGTGCCAGAGGGGTGGAGTGTGAACCAAAAGCCAGCTCTGGAGTTTGTTCAGTGCCTCTAAACCACCTCCTGCAACTGCCCAAGTATTCAAGGAAGTTGTTACAAAATCACAACTGTACATTTACATATACAAATATTTTTACAATGCTTAAAAATCAACCCTGAGAAATACACTCTGAGCATTATCCTTGAAGAGAAGCTGGTTTGCCTGCCCACCAGAAGCACAGAGTGGCTGGCGTGGCCTGATGGACATGGTGCTGCACAGCTGTCCCCTGGGCTGGCACTCGGCTGTTGCACTGCACAGAACCAGTTTTGGTGGAGGAGAGGATCCAGGGAAGAGGGGCCTTGCAGTTCCTTCTGGCACCAGTCTAATCATCCAGTTCAGACTCCTTTTCAGTGCTAGGAACAAAAACAAGGATCACAGACTTAGACACAGGTTTTGAGGCACATGGTCATAAAAGCAATGAGTTTGTTTTTTCTGTTGCACAGACCTCCATACTAGTCAGCCTTTGTGTGAGCTTCAGCATCTGCCATGGCAGGAAAGAGATGAAGCTGCAGCAGAAATGGGGGACGCTCAGCACAGGGCTACCCCATGGCCTGGCCATGCTGCACAACTGCCACCACAGGAGCAGGGAAAGGCCCCTGTGCTTCTGGCTGCACCACTCAAGGAATAGAGCAGGTGAGCAGAGTGTGAGGATTTGCACCATCCAGGTGTTCTTAAGGGCTGCCTCAGTAACCCCTCACCTCTGCCATCAGCAGCCTTCACTCCTGGTTCATCAGGACCCTCAGAGCAGAGTGGGCTTTGAGTCCTGACAAACTTTGTTCACCCCCGAGCAGCTCTTCTGGCCCCTCTGCCTGGTGTGTGCCCAGCATGGTCCCAGTGTGGCGCTGAGGGAACCCAGCACTGCCCTGGGGAGCTGTGCTGAGGGGCAGTGTGGCCACCAGGCCAGGAGCTCCGGCGCCTCCGGGCACCTGCTGTGGATTTACACCCTTGACCAGAGCTGCCCATGTTATGCAAGAGTGGGGCAGCCTGACCCCCCTGCCTGGGGCAGAACCCTGCAGGTGCTCCTGCTCACCCGTCACCCCGGGGTGCTGCTGCTCTGCTAATCGTGGGTGCCAGAAACAGCTCAAATCCCCAGTGACCTTCCCTGGCCCCAGCTCTGCCAGCACCCTGGGAGCTGCCTTGGCTGCAAGCACCAGAAATCACCCTTTTTGGAGGCAGCAGGTGTCCTGATGGCACTTGAGCTCACCTTGTTACCCTGCCTGTCCCTTTAATGCCATTACTGAAGATGATTACGTGAGCAGATCCCCTTTGAAGAGGCAGCTGCTTGGGCTGCCCACACACCTACCTCTCTGGCCCAGAAGACAGGACCTGCAGTGGTGAGCACAGCTGCTTCCGAATATACTCCCTCGACCTCATATCAGCCTGGATTGAAGGAGGAAAACAAGTGAAAATGGACTGACCAGCCTGCTTGGTGCTGCCCTTTGTTCTCTCAGCACACACCACGGTGTCAGCACATCACACATATTTGCTCAACTGTGTTGCAAAGAGGAACCTGCATGTTTCTTTCTTTGGTTTCCACAGTCTCTGCAAGTTCACTGCCCACTTTTCTATGTCCTGGGATCTCCCTCATCCTTTTTGCTCCAAGCTAGCAAAATCCCTCAGCCTACACTGATGTACAAAAGCTGCACGTCCCTTGGCTCCAGAAAGTTGTTGAAAGTGCTAAAACCATGTGGCTATGAAGGCAGATCTCTGCAGCACTGCAGGGCAACTTGGCATGAGAGGGGGGCTCACTGACCCCTCCTCAAAAAGGGGGGAACAGCTGGAGTGTTTCACTGACTTGTCCTAGAGCAACAGAACGTCCCACGGACAGGACTCCACTCCCACTGCAGCCTCCAGCCTCACAGCACTCAAAGATCATCCACAGTCTCTGTGGCTGTGGCACTGTGATGTTCCCAAAGGATTAGCTTTCCTTGTCACTATCAGCTGAGAAACAGGACTCTGCCCTCCTCAGGAAACTGTGCACTGAGAGGGGGAACAAGGCTATGGACAAGGCTGTGAAGAGCTTGGGAATATGGCAATGGAATCCTCAAGAAGAGATGGGATGAAAAGAAGCTGGCATTGCCTGTTCTTGCACCCATCCCTGTCCTTCCCCTGTCCCAGCAGCTGCACGTGCAGCAGCAGCACCACTCATCTGCTGTGCATCCTGCTCTCCAGGCAAGAGCCTGGCTCATCCTGCTTGTGTGCCCAGTTTTCCAGTGAAGAAGACTCTTCTATGCTATGACAACCACACAGACCCTGGGCCCTTGGACAACTCTGAGAACTGGCAGTTGATTTTTACATTTCCTCAAAGAGTTTTTCTTTTTTTCAGAAACTTCTGTCTCCAAAATGCTGCCATGACATTTTAGACCAGCTGCTGTGCCCCACCTCAAAGGCAGAGTGTCTCTCTCCACTTAAAAAGCAGTATGTGACCTTCCCAGCTGGAAAACCTTCCCAGCATATGACATCACACTAATAAAGTGGGTTAATGCACCCCCAGTGGCACTTCTTGAAGCATTTGCTGCTCCCACCACTGTCCTGCTGAAGAGCCCCTCCTGCACCCCAACATGTTCCCCACCACCCCCCATCCCTGCTGCTTCCCTGGGATGGAGGCTCTGCCTGCTCCCTGCTGGAAACACAGCTCCATAACTGCTTAAGGATTCCACAAGCTCCAGAATGAAAAATAGTTACATAAGGGAAGGTTTGTTTTGGAGATTTATTTTTTTTCCCCTTCTCTCTATAATTGCACAGTTTCATAACTGAACTGACAAGTAACTTTGATCACTCTTCAGGATAAGAGATTACGTGATGCATTTTATAACTAGGGAAGGAGCCTGTTCAATAGAGTCCCTGCTGGGAGAGCAAGGCAGCAAGAGTCACACCTACAAACTACTTTTCTAGGGAAGAAAAACCCCAACCAGTTTCTGCTGGCAACATCAGCTAACACCTTATCAGGTGGTGAGTTACTGGCCAGTCCTCACTCCTGAGGCAGAGCTGAGAGACAGCTTAACCCCAGGCATTAACCAGCAGGCTAATCAATAAGATGGATAACTGTCCTGCAATAATCCTCACAGATTGTTTCTATTTTTAGAAAGGACTAGTGCTGGCATTAGGGTCTGGAATTGTTGCTCTGCCTATTAGGTGAGGGGCAGTGGTGACCCCTGTGCCCACAGCAAGCTTGCAGCAGGGCCACGTATGGAGGGAGCTGGAGTTTCTAGATTTCCCTGTGGAGCAGCAGGAGCTGCTGGCAGAGGAGGGGAATGATGGCTCAGTTCTCCTGAGGCAAGTGTGTAACGTTTCATATGGAGTGACCTGCAGAAATTAACAGCTCTGACTCTCAGGCCTACTTCTGTCCCTCTTGGTGGGCTGGAGCAACATCAGGCTGTCCCACCAGCCACTTTCTGAGCCAGTGGGAAGCAGCTGGGCAAGGGGCCAGCTGGAGGTAAAAGGATCAGGTGAGCTGGAGGCTGCTGTGCAGCCAACCAGGAGCAGGGAGAGCAGAATCAGTCCCAGTGCAATCCCTGTCAGCTGAAGCTCCTGTTTCCCTGCTGTGGATGCTGGGGCTGAGCAGGCTGGGGGGTACAGAAGCACTGGAGAAGGGTCCTGACCAGGGCAGCTGCTCTTGGGAGGGCTTGGTGCTGTCCCAGAATCATAGAACTATTCAGGTGGAAAGAGCCCCTTGGGATCACTGAGTCCAACCATCATTCCTACTCTACAAGTTCTCCCCTAAACCATCTCCACCAACAGAGCCACTCAGTTTGAATGCTTTGCTTATTATTCTGTGATGACAGCTCCTGCCTACCTCAATCCCTGTCTGGGTAGCTCCAAATGACCAAGAAGAACCTAAAAATCTCTCAAGCTGGCTGGGCAGAGATCAGCCCCATGCAAGTGGAATTCTCAGGCAGATGGGCCTTGCACTTCCACATTGGATAAGGCGTAAGTGGGATGTAAACACTGGCTGCAGGTGATAATTAACTTCCCTCTGCTTCTCTGGGAGATCTCTCACTTCTCTCACCGGCATCTCAGCCCCAGTTCCTTGGGCAGCATGACCACGTTGTGGGCTGGATACAAATCAAACTGTTTCCAATCGATGCCCGGTCAGTGCTGGGTGCCCAAGAGGCACAGCTGCCCCACACGGGTTTGCAGGTGCCTCCAGGAAAGCAGGAGGTTCCAGTTCCCAAGCAGTTGCCCAGCACTCCTGAGCTGCAGCACAGTGCTGCCTCCACACAGGCCACCAGCACAGCCTCAGGAGGGGGGCAGCTGAGCTCTCCTAAGAGCATTACAGTCCTAGGGCCCCCAGAACCTACACACTAAGAGCTAATGATCCAGAATCTTTTGTGATGCTGGGAAAGCCAGAAGCACATCAGGTCTGCAGGCTTGTCCTGGGGACACAGCAGAGCAAAAAGGCCAAGTCAGTCACCCATGGCTGCCCTTCCCACACCTTCCAGCCCCCAGCTCCAGCTTTAGGTACTCATGAACAGATGTCATGATCTGTGACAGATACCACACAGAGCAACTGTGACAGGGAGAAGTCCCACAGAAAGGTTTAAGGACCTCATCTCCTGCCATCCCTCTCCCTCTACCCTAAACACGTTCCCTCTGGGTTTTCAATCTCCCCAGAAGAAAAGCGACAATTCGTTCCATCCCTTTCAATAAAGGTTGTAGTTAGAGAACTGGAAGAGTCTCAGAACACTGACACTGGAGATACTTGGAAGTGAAATGAGGATGATTAAAAGCTCCAAGACACCTCTTTGTTTCCCAAGTGAATGCTCTTCCCCTTTCCTCTGAGCATGCAGAGCTGCAGAGCCAGCTCAGAGCCCTGCGGAGGCATCTGTCCCTTGCTGGAAGAAATTACATAAGGAGCCACCAGCCCACACCCATCTGGCAGGTGGTGGTTCCTGAGACCAGGAACTCCAGCTCTGCTATGGACACTTCAAGGTTTGTTTTGCTCCAAGGTGTGAGATTTTTGTCTGGTCTGTAACACTCTGCTCTCAGCACACGCTGCAGCACCAGCCTCCCGTGTGCAGGGACAGTGGAACAGCCCCCAGCAGGACCCCAGGAGCAAAGGTGGCCAGACACCCACCAGCACGGTAGGGTAGGAACCAGTGGTGTGTTCCAGGACCACGGACATGGGAACAGACCCGAATCCCTGGACAGCCACTGGCACGGGCCTGCCTGAGCCACCAACAGCAGCGTGACCCTGAGGAAAGCGCTTGTCAGGCTACAAGTCCCAGGGGCTTTCTGCCTCTCCAGATCCTTTCCTGAAGCCCTGTTGCCAGTCAGTCAGTCAGTCTGAAGCCTCGCAGGGAGCTGCAGCTCCCCGGGCGATGCGGTGCTGTCACCTGCTGGCTGCTGCCCGCAGCTCCTGCAGCGCGGGAAGCCCAGGGGAGCAGCACTGCAGCCTGCGCTGAGGAAAACTGCGTTTCCAGCTGCTGTGTATTAACATCAGCCTCCCAGAAGTTGCCTCCAGAGAGGAACCAGGGAATCGGTCAGGCTGGGTCTGCAGGGAGGGCTGTGTGTGCTGGGCACTGCATCAGGAGAACAAGGAGGAAGGAGCAGGTAAACATGGACAGCAGTGCAACAGGCCGGGCAGAAGGGTGCCCGCTGCAGAACTGCCAGCTGCAGATGAGAGGGAAACTGAGGCTCTGACACATCACCAGAGGCTTGGCATCCACAGCCCCCTCCACTGCCTGCTTCCAGGCCTGTCTCCCCCTCTCAGCTCAGCTCCAGTACCTGGCGGATGGGCTCGGGGACGCGGAAGCGGCAGCAGGAGCGGAGCAGCCGCACGGCTGTCTCCAGGCTCACCTTGTGACCCACCGAGACATAAAGAGGCCTCGAGCTCTTGCTGTGGCTGGGCAGGGCCTGTGTGTTCAGAAACAAAAAAGATCAAGCACTTAAGAGGCTTATTTTAACCAACACAGAGTGGCAGATTAGTTCTAAGCTAGCCAGTTGCCTACGGAAGGGATGGTGGCTCTGTGTGGTAACTCCCTGCCTTCTTCAGCTTCAGCTCCCCAGTATCTCCTCACAGGGACTGTTTGCCCTTCTGGACCCCAGTGCCCCTTCCCCAAAAGCCTCACCCTCCTGTGAGCAGTGAGACTTGCTACTCCAGACTATGGTGAAGTAACTCCAGACATGGGAAGTTCCTTCCATCTGTCTGTCTCCTGTGCAGTCTGTCTCTCTGGGGTTAGATGCTCCAGTGTTTCCTCCTGGTATGAGCTGCTACAGAACTGGCACCTCTCCATGCCCATGGTACATCCACAGAGCACAGCACCTCAGATGCCACAGATGTGAACATACCTAGCACCTGAACTGTCAACTCTGCCTACAAATGTCTGAGCCCATAGGGAGAGGAAGGGTACCTGCTTACACTGTGCTTTCTGAACAAGTACCACTAGGACAGCCCCACCACAGAGACACCACTCTCCAGTGCTCCCAGCTACACACAGCTGGAAAACCCAGGAAACTCCCCACAGCTTACCATGCCCAGGACTCTCCCTGATGTGCCCACCAGTGGGAATGAGTCTCCTTCCTTCTGCAGGGAACGAATCTAGGGAGGAACATGCACAGGGTCAGCTGTTGATGAAGTACTTGTGTGCAGCTGTCACAATTCTCTTAAGATTTTTAAAAGCAGAAATAAATTCCCAGCCTGGCCTAACCTGCTCTTTGTGCTGCTCATCCTTGGCCAAGCCATCCACATGCAGGAGGTTCTTGGCTACACCAATGCATGGTAGATCTGTCAGGACCCCAAGGTGACAGGCCACACCAAATCCTGCCAACAATGAGTCACTGTAACTGCAGGACACCAGGGAACAGGAATCTCAAGTGGCATCACAGGGACTCTGGAGAGCAGGGTTCTCCAGCAGAGTCCTACCTCTGGGATGGAGCAGGCCATTCCCATCTACAAGAAGAACCTGAAACACCAAAAAAGAAATGTTATCTCCTGTGTACTGTGACCCACTTGATCAGGCAAACAGTGACATTGGGCCCATGAAGGAGGAGAAGTGTGTCTGTCCCATCAGCTCTCTCCGCAGGGCTCCTCCCGTGGTGCTGTCTCCACCTGACTACAGGATCAGCAGCAGGGGCTGCCAGTGGCTGGGATTTCTCCCCACCGCGGCTGCGCCGTACTGTGACCCACTTGATCAGGCAAACAGTGACATTGGGCCCATGAAGGAGGAGAAGTGTGTCTGTCCCATCAGCTCTCTCCGCAGGGCTCCTCCCGTGGTGCTGTCTCCACCTGACTACAGGATCAGCAGCAGAGGCTGCCAGTGGCTGGCATTGCTCCTCACTGGTGCTGCGCACAGGACAGGACTCCCACTGCTATGGGAGGTCTGGCTGTTCTTGGCTGAGCATCCCTGGTCCCCAAGGAAAGGCCAACAGACCCTTCACTACAACTCACACTGCGCTTCCTGCCCTGCCAGCAGAAAACAGGCAGCGAGGCCTCAGGAGAGGGAGGAACACCTCCCAGCAGCTCTCTGTGACCTCCTGACATCTCAACTCATGACAAAGAAACGTGACACACCTGAGGCTTGAGGCTGGGCTGCTCCTGCTCCAGTCTCTGAAGAGCTTCCACCAGGAAAGGCACCTCTCGGAAGGCCAAGAATCCCGCCACGTACGGGGCCTCCACAGCCACCATCCGGCAGTCCTCGTACAGCACCTGCCAGCAGCAGGGACACGGACCTGCAGTGCCCTGCTGCTCGCTTCCCGACAGCTTCAGAGCATCTCCTCTGCTTCACGTCCCTAACTCCCATCTTTAAAACAGTCTGTTCTTTTAAAACAGTCTGTTTCTGGATGTCTCCCCCTAAGCCAGCGGGCTGGGGCTCAGGGCAGGGGGTGGGTAAAGGGCTCCTGACAGAACAGGGCTGGACATCCCCTGCCCGACCCTGCGTGAGAGTGAAGCCCTGGAAACAAAACTAGGGCAGCCCTTCAAGCTCACAGTGGGACCTGAAGGTTCACCCAGCCAGAGCACGATCAAAGGTGTCTGTCTGTGCTGGGACAGGCTGAAAGAAACACTGCGAGTCAAGGTGGGTCAAAAAACAGCCATGCAGGGCAAGTCAAGAATCAAGGCAGGACTTGAAATTCAGTTCATAAAAATCCCAGTGGCCTGTAGCAAACTTTATTTCTCTGCTTGTTATAGGTTTTATAGTTAATTTTTTATACCATTTTGAAAGCTGGGAAAGAGACTAAAACCCTTAATTAATTCAAGTAAAATGACTGTAGGATTCATGGCAGTTTGGAAAAGGCTTTTACACATTACATCCCATATTATGGGGTGATTCCCAGCAAGAACTCACAACCAAGAGCCCTGCTGCTTGAGTGCAACAAACGCTGTAATTTCCCCTCCTGACCGGCCCTGAAACAACGGTCCTGTTTGTGTCCTGGGTACCGGCCATGACTTTTCAGCGCCCGTTCAACACCTGAGCCGGGGCAGCCCCGCTGTGCCTGGCCCCAAACTGCAGCTCATCGCAGCCCCTTCTCATTTACCAACTAACACGAGCGCCGAACCCTCCCCTCCAGACCTTGTGGGACCCCGTGATCCTACAACACCCCTCCAAAATCAGGAGCAGTTTGCGTCACATCCTCCTGAATTCTGCCTAAACCCTTACACGGTGTTTCCCCCGCACAGCGGGTGGGAGGCCCCGCAGGAGCCCCCGGGGGGCCCAGCCCTGTCCCTGCAGGCCCGGGTAGCTCAGCACC